ACAACTTAAAAAGCTTGATGTGAAACTGGCATAGAAAACTAAAAAAATTCCAACTGACAAAAATTTCAAAAAAACCCACAACTGCCAAACAATATGTAAATATTACAAATGGTTTAAGCAGTCTAGTTTTTGGAAAGAAAGAAATTGATTTAAATTAAGTTGAAAATAAGGTAACCGAAATATTCAACAGAAAAAAAATTAATTGTTTTTCAATTCAACAAGTTTTGGCAGATTTCTGAAATACTATCCCAGTACTCGTCGTTATCAAGCAACTGGACTTCAAATCTTTATTTCACGTTAAAAATCAATGCGTTTAGGTTTTTCCATTTGTTTCGTTGAGGAAAATCATAATTGTATTCCAATTGAAATAGCCTAAAAGTTATCTTGTTTCAATTTGTCAGGTTTTAAAAAACAAACAAAAATTTGGGCGACTTCGACAGCCCACGGTTGCAATCAGCCAATTGTTGTAGCCTTTTTTATTCTCAGAGTGCTCTGCTTGGCATAAACATTGTAGATAGTTGGGAAAAATTGATTTAAGCAAGTTATCCCAAAACAAATCAAAAGATGCTAAGACTTGTAAACCTCGAAACTTTAATTTTGTCAATGATTCGTGAATTAATTTTTGAAAGTTTTAGCGGTTACAAATCACTGGTAGAGAACATAAAGCAGTGAATTTTTGAATGGAATGTTTCGGTCTTCTATCATTTTTGTAAGGTGCAAATAGTCCCAAATACCTAACCTTTTGACAAAAACACTCAAGAGAAATGAAAAGTTCATCCTCGAATTTTGCATGATGGAAAAATGGTTGTCATGTCCTGCCTGAAACACAAAATTATTACAACTTGGCTCTGAGAGGTCTTAGGTGGTTTTTGAGACCATCATAGGGATCATGTCTGAGACTTTTCTGGGTGATGTCGGTCAAGTTATAGCCGAGGTGAAGAATGCTTGGCCGTAGAATTCACTTGGTGGTGTTGACGCCGTGAAATTTACACTCTTCACTTTGGCACTAATTTGACCGACATTCTCCAGAAAAATTTGTGGTGGAAGTCCATGGTGATCTCAAAAATTAAAATTATTTAATTTACAGCACTTTTGTATCTCACTTTAAATCCTAGCTACTTCTTTAGAGGTTTTTTTTCTTTTGCTTTTGACATTCGTCAATAAAATCCCGTCGTCTGATTTTGAAGCAGACACCAAACCAATGGAGTTTTCGATTCATCAAATAATCCGAAAATAACGTCAGCTTGATGAAAAACTTCCGACGGTGATTTCAAAAGTCCATCGGAAGCAATTTTTCTACGTTTCGAGGCGCGTTCAATTGACTCTCTCAAACCCCCCTCTCTGTCGATGTTCAACAAAAAAATTCCGTCCTGCGTTTCCACCCATTCATCTCCGACTCTTGAAGACTCGATGTTTTAAGGCATTTTCGACTTGTTTGTGTATCATTGACAATACAGTGTCAGTTTTTTATATCTGAAGGAAAAAGGATGTATTTCACTGGTTCCGGCTAAAATTTTGAATTTCACGGAGAAATAGTTGAAAAACTGTTTTGCTCAAAATTGCTCCAAAAACATGCAACTTCACGTAATCCACAACAAAAAATGCGCAATCCAGAACAGTTTGTGTAATCCACAAACAAATAACATTTCTTTGTGTTTAGTCAGCTTAAGCTGTCGTGGAAATAGCAACTGCAAGGGAAACCACAAATTGTAAGCAGAATCTGCAAACTGTAAGCGGAAACCGCAAATTGTAAGCGGATTCAGCAAATTGTAAGCAGAACTGCAGATTGTGAGCGGAACCCGCATCAATTGGCGGAATCCGTTTGCATTAGTTTTGCAGAATCCGGAACAACTAGAAACTCTAGATCGACGCGGAATTCGCAACATTAATAACGTGCCGACAATTATTACGCAACAAAAATTTGTGCGCGGAATCCACGGAAATTTTGTAAGGTGAATCTACTTACTTGTTGACCTTGTTTGAAGACTTGTATCTGGATTCCAGTGACCTATAGACACCAAATTAACCACCTATCCCGTGCACAGGTTGGCCTCGTAATTTCACTTTTATTGCATATCAGATAAACAAAATTTGTATTTTGAACCTCGAATTTTGTTCACTTACGGACGCTGCGTGTCTCGAGATGTTCCAAAAAATTTGCATGATAGCTGTTGGTGTTCTACATCATTGGACCTAAATTTTTACCGCTATTTTTTAAAAACACGAATTTTCATGTTCAAATCTAAAATTGTAAAAATCAATTGAGACTCTTTGGGTTGTATACCAGAGGTTTTTACTAGAAATCTTTACATTTTACCTTAAAGTAAAATGTACTTGGAAACTTCTTCAGAAAAAAAGATGGCATAATTTAATCAGTGTTGTCAACAAAATAAATTTCCATATCCTTTTCAGATTCATTGGCGGTGAAAAATAATTACTAGGCGTTAATAGCGAAAAACGAAAGACTAAAAATTGCAGCTGCCTCATAGTGTTAAAAATAAACCTTTGAAGTTTTTTCCTTGAAATGAAACAAATCTCAAAAACTCCAAACAATTAGCAACATGCTGGTTGTTTCAAGCTCGATTTGTTCTCAATAAGAAAAGCAAAACCGCAAGTCAAATACGCGACTTCGGAGTCTAACAAACCGTGCCGAATAGCTTAGGTTTTATAAAACTTTGATGTGCAGTTGCAGGACTGAAATTTTGCGGCTGAAAAACAACTTACAGTCGAACGCAAAACCAAAAGTTACCTAATTTTGGTCGAGAAGTGGAAACATAGAAACACTCAATATAAAGGTTTAAAACTAACAGAGCATTGCGCGAGCACAGTCGAAATTGGGTTTTCAGTTTTTTGATCAAGTAAATTGAAATATACCGAGACAGTCGAGCATGCCAATAATTTATCTAGTCGGCCAAAATATATTCAACTCGGTTCGAGAAAGCCAAAACAAAAGTCAAAAACTTCGAACTGGGTATCGCTTTTTTGTAAGAGTTGAGCATAAATGAAAAAAAAATTCAGAATTTGAGCATGCTCTAAGCTACACTATGAATGACAAGTGAACATGTCTTCATCTTTGATAGCTGATTGCACGTCAGTTAGCCATCTATAGTTTTCATACATACAATAAACTTCTGAGATTATCGTATTGGTTTGAAACCAGTTTGAAACTTTTTGTTTCAATTGGGTTCTATTTCCCTGTAAAATATTTATTACTTAACAATCATGATCCATGAATAAATCTTAATCTAGTGGTTCAGAGCATTGATAATAAAGATTGAAATCTGGTGCTTTTTTTTCTCTCCTCTTACTTCGCTCGCAGTAAACTAGTATATCTCTAGATCTATTGATACTAGGAAATATAAGAGTAAGATTAGGATTGGTATTGGACTAAGGAGTTGCACAAACTTATCCGACCGAAAATAAGATAGCGTGACGAACAGATGGTGTACCTTATCTGAAAATACTCTATGAGTGAGCCATCCCAGGCGTAAACTCAATAGTTAATTCATGAAAAACTATGATTGTTTAATTCATGATTTTTAATTCATGAAAAACTATGAATGTTTCATTCATGATTTTTAATTCATGAAAAACTGTAGGATGGAAAAACTTAGGATGGACAGAAACCTACAAACCTGCTTGAAGTATCGGCAAAATTATCTCAAGCGTTACTAACACGATTCGGTAGCTAGCGACTGGCTAAGGATATTTTTACGCCTGAAGACAGGATCCATCACCTCAAAGCTAGCTACCAGAGAGCTAGCAAGAGAACGACTCTATCCACAACAACATATACTATAAATCTGAAACAAAAACAAAATATTAAGAAACATCTAGAAGCATTAAAAGTTCATAAGAATCGCAACCAAATTTTTGACAAGGACACAAAAATATTGAAAATAAAGATATTTTGTGGAACAAGAATGAAAAGTTAAATAATTGTAGAGCCTCAGATGAGACAAAAATGAATGAACTTAAAGTTTCCAGATTTTTTCCAATATTAGCCAATGCGGGTTTATTTTGTACAATTATTGAATTCTTGGATTTCCTGGAAAGACACCTAGCAAATGTTTAGGCCTAATTGTCAAAGGTGGTTTTTGAAGGTGATAAATTTTTTTAAACAATCCGACGATTCAACTTTTCCATCACTTTAGTAATATGAAAACTGTAGGTTAAAAAACTTCATTTTCAAAAGTTTCAAACTATATTCCAGACTTCCTGACAGGGTTCGTGGATGTTTCCTTTCAGGAAGCCAAGAATAACCCTGAACTCTGAAACAATCATGACAGCAAGTCCCAGTTTTTCTCTCTGGCTACTTAAACCCGGGTATCGAATACTAAAAATCACACACAGACTATCGATTTTACCCTCCTGCAATGAAGTACAAAGTTTGCTCTGAAGTACAAAGCTCGCAACTGCTTAAGTAATGAAGATTGCTTTTTATAGAAGTGCAATTTCTTCTCTAAATGCCTCAAGAGAAGGGCGTGGCATTCAAGTATTCATCCATCCATAAAAATTCACCTCTTATTTATTTCTCCGATTCAAATTTTTCTGAAATAAGAATATTTTTATATGTCGATCAAGTTGATTTTAAGAGCTCTACGAAAAACTATAAAATCCCCTTTTGATCTGCAGACAATTTTTTAATTTTTTGAAAAATGTAGTTTTTGGGTCTTTTCGGAAAACATTTAGCAAACAATTTGTGTAGGTAGGCCCAAAATGGTCGCCGTTAAACATTAGCGTAGGTAGGCCCAAAATGGTTGCCGTTAAACAGTAGCAAGGTGGGGTCACTTTGGGTGGCGAGGGCGTGGAATCCTGGAGTGTATTAGACGATTACCCTGCTGCCCACCTAAATCCGCTTCTGCTTATGGCCATCATTTCTTGGTTGTTAATTAACTTATGAACATTTTTAAGCACTTTCCATTTCATTTAATTTTGAAGAAAGATACTGGAAAGAAAGAAAATGACCAATGATGTCCCTGGAGGGGGAATGATCTGACCTTGAATGAGACGTTCTTGAGGATAGGCTGGTCTGGTCTATAGTGGAAAGTGACGTCATCAAACTTTATCTCTCCTCCTTCGATACTCAAAGCTGCACATCCCTTGTGATCAGTGACCTCCACCTGAAATAATAGGTTCGAATACCAGCGGTAACAGTTTTTTGCACAAGAATACATCTTTGCATAGTCTACAGCACAAGAAAAGTCTATTGCATATTCCAGTAAAGGAATCATCCAATAAGTCACTACTTCCTCAGGGATTCGACCCCCTCACCAAGCAAAGGGTCCCCCTTTTCATTATTTCATAACATCCATTTTCAGTCGACCAACGCTAAAATTATCCTGAAGTATATACTTACTTAATAAAGTATAAACTAATTTATACTAATTTTGAAGGGCAGCGCAGGCCGAAAATTAGCAGTTTTTTGGGCTAAAATTTTCCAAAAAGCTCATAAAAAATCCTAAATCAGCCCCTGCTGCGGAGCATTGAAATAGTATAAGACATTTTTTTGAAATTAAAAATTGTAACCCCCATTCTACAATAGTTAATACTTTTTATGATGTAACCAGTGCTTTAAAAGGGGTTGGGCATGAAGACCAAAAACCGGATGTTGTGAACAAAATTTTTGCCAATGTGGGTGAGGTCGGAAGGAGGGGAAAGCCACAGTAAAAACAAATAAAAAGAAATCATCTTCGTGTTAATTAAAAACATAACATTTCACAAATTATGATCTTTTTTAAAAATTAAGCATCGGTCAAAATAGTTCTATTGAACGAGTGGTTATTAGATTGATATTAGGACGGGGAAAAAGGAGGATAAAAACAAAAAACAAACTTTCAACCAATGAGAATTGTCTGGAACCGTTACGAAATGTATTCCCGGGAAATTTTGCGACAAAAATTGAAACAAAAATTTTGATAAAGTGCCCGTATCAGGGTGAAGCCCTGAATGTTTTGTAAAATCAATAAGATTATTAAAAGAAATCAAAAATTTTGATTTTTTCAATTACTTTATCATTTGCTACACTGATGTTGTGAACACAAAGTAAAGATCAAACCGACGTTTTGTGATTCCGATAACGCAGTAGTAATAACAAACTGTATGCTTCAGTTCAATTGGGAACAATTTAATTCAAATCAAAACAATAGGAAAAAAGATAATAGCTAAAAAACTGTTTTGAATGTTGATCCGACGACTTGGATCTAAAAAAATATATTTTAGATGAGATAGATAAACATTTGGTCAAAAAGCTGAAGAAATAAACAACCCCGAGCAAAAACATTTCATCACACTCTTCGAAACCCGAAAAAAAATGCGAAAAATTACGATAAACCAACTTTGCAACTGGAACCAGTTCTTAACTAGTAATTATAAACCAATTATGTTATTGATAAAATAATCTCTATAAAAATTACTAACTAACCAATCATATTTCATCACTAACTTTGACATTTAGTTGAAAAGTGCTGAAACTACATGTAGTTTCAGCACCAGAACAATTTGAATAAATCTTAGACTACAGTTGTTCTCCTTCTGGATAAACTCCAAAAACTAACTCGTAAATACTAGTGTACACTAGATCTAATAAGGCTAGGAGATATAAAAGTAGGATTAAGATTGGTATAAGACTAAGAAGTTGCACGAATCTATCCGGACGAAACTAAGATAGCATGACGAACAGACGGTTTATTTTATCTGAAATTACTCAATGAGTACAGTATCTCGTACATAACTCACAACAAACTCATACCAAAGTCAAAATTATAGAAAAAGCTCAACTATCCAATACTTTTCATTTTGTCTAAAACAATTTTTTTTTAAGTTTTCATCTTTTTTAGGGGCAGATCTCGATTTTTTCTCATGTGGAAAAAGGGGAGAGGAAAGGGAGCCGAGCAAAGGCATGCAAGTTTGATAAAAAATTTTAAAAGATTTTCTTAGATTGACCTAATTGAGTTTCTGAAAATTCCCATATCACTAAAAATATTCTGTTTTTACAAAACTTTCTGCGCCACACGCAATGTTTTGGAAAAAAAACAGACCAAAAAAGCGTTTTAGGTTTTTTTGGATAGTTTTGAGGAAAAAATACAGTTTTGCTCCCGTCAGAGTTTTGCTCCCCGTCAAAAATTAAAGATTGGCGCCGAAGTTCAGCCAGCCAAAACTCGAGGTTTTGAAGTAGCACCAAAGGGGTGAGCCTTTGGGTAGTCAGGGTGTCCAATACCTAAAGAGAAGGCCGTCTGCACCCCCCTAATTCCTCCATTTGGTTTTCTACAAAATGATGAGAAAGGAAAGTACAAAATCTAATTGTTTCATTTTTGGAGAAAATGGTGAATTATTTTTTTCTCGGGTTGGTTTTTTTCCAGACCATTTTAGTTTTTTCAACTAGCCATTATGATCAAATGTTTATACCATCTTAAGGCCAGAAAGATCTTCAACTCAGTTGCGGGCTTCTTCCTCCCGCCTCAATTTTGCGGTGTAACGACTAAGTTTACAAGTTAAATGAGAAGACCAAAAATGTTTGTCATGGCATAATTAGTCGGTAAGTCGATTTTCATTACAATCGGACACTGTGAGAAAAAATTGAATAAAAAAAATTGACAGGTGGGCAAAAAGAAAAACAGCCCTAATTTGATCACAAATTATAAAGGTTTGAAAATATGATAAATTTATTACTATAAACCAAATTGAGATAATTAATTCGATTTATTTTTCATTTTCTTTAAGCGTAAGCGTCAAAATGAATTTTTCCAACATAACTGAGGCAATCAATTTGCTTACTTTAAACGCCAGTACACGCAAATTATATCACTTGACACTTTTCATAACTTACAGGGGTTAAAGTTAAGAAAAGAAAACTTCAAGAAAATGTTCAGTTTTTTTTTCATTTTGTTTTGAATATTTTGAAGATTTATTTTCAATCAAAAATGTCGTTTTTAATGTAGGAGCGCTTTGAAAGCAGAAATTAGGAAGCTAAGAACGAATCCAATTGTCAACCATGAACATCATCAGTCTTGTCTTGGTGGTTTTTAAAACGCTTTCAAGTGAAAAAAAGTATTGCATCCTGATACTGAGTGCTGAAATTATTTGTCAAACTAGATCTAATAAGGCTAGGAGATATAAAAGTAGGATTAAGATTGGTATAAGACTAGGAAGTTGCACGAATCTATCTGGCCGGAACTAAGATAGCGTGATGAACACACGGTGTACCTTATCTGAAATTACTCAATGAGTGCAGTATCTTGTACATAACTCACAACAGTCTCATACCAAAGTCAAAATGATAAAAAAAAGCTCAACCATCCAATACTTTTCATTTTGTCTAAAACAGTTTTTTTTAAATTTTCATCTTTTTTAGGGGCATATCTCGATTTTTTCACAGGTGGAAAAAGGGGAGAGGAAAGGGAGCCGAGCAAAGGCATGCAAGTTTGATAAAAATTTTCAAAAGATTTTCTTAGATTGACCTAATTGATTTTCTGAAAATTCCCATATCAACAAAAAGATTCTGTTTTTACCAAATTTTCTGCGCCACACGCAATGTTTTGGAAAAAAACAGGCCAAAAAAGCAATTTAGGTTTTGTTGGATAGTTTTGAGGAAAAAATACATATTTTTTATGGCGCGCTCCCCGTCAAAAAGTAAATATTGGCGTCGAAGTTCAGCCAGCCAAAATTTGAGGTTTTGAAATAGTGCCAAAGGGGTGAGCCTTTGGGTAGTCAGGGTGTCCAATACCTAAGGAGATGGCCGTCCGCGCACACCTAATTCCTCCATTTGGTTTTCTACAAAATGATGAGAAAGGAAAGTACAAAATCTAATTGATTCAATTTTGGAGAAAATGGTGGAGTATTTTTTTCTCGGGTTGGTTTTTTTCCAGACCATTTTCGTTTTTTCAACTAGCCATTATGATCAAATGTTTATACCATCTTAAGGCCAGTAAGGTCTTCAACTCAGTTGCCGGCTTTTTCCTCCCACCTCAATTTTGCGGTGTAACGACTAAGTTTACAAGTTAATTTAGAAGACCAGAAATGTTTGTTATGGTATAATTAGTCGGCAAGTCGATTTTCAATACAGTCGGATACTGCGAGAAATTTTTAAAATAAAAAAATTGACAAGTGGTAATAAAAAACAGCCCTAATTTGATCACAAATTATAATGGTTTGAATATATGATAAATTTATTACTATAAACCAAACTGAGATAATTAATTAGATATATTTTTCATTTTCTGTAAGCGTAAGCGTCAAAATGAATTTTTTCCAACATAAATGAGGCATTCAATTTGCTTATTTTAAACGCCATTACACGCAAATTATATCACTTGATACTTTACATAACTTACGGGGGTTAAAGTTAAGAAAAGTAAACTTCAAGAAAATGTTCAGTTTTTTTTTCATTTTGTTTTGAATATTTTGAAGATTTATTTTTAATCAAAAATGTCGTTTTAAAGTAGGAGCGCTTTGAAAGCAGAAATTAGGAAGCTAAGAACGAATCCAATTGTGAACCATGAACATCATCAGTCTTGTCTTGGTGGTTTTTAAAACGCTTTCAAGTGAAAAAAAGTATTGCATCCTGATACTGAGTGCTGAAATTATTTGTCAAACTAGATCTAATAAGGCTAGGAGATATAAAAGTAGGATTAAGATTGGTATAAGACTAAGAAGTTGCACGAATCTATCCGGCCGAAACTAAGATAGCATGACGAACAGACGGTTTATTTTATCTGAAATTACTCAATGAGTACAGTATCTCGTACATAACTCACAACAAACTCATACCAAAGTCAAAATGATAGAAAAAGCTCAACTATCCAATACTTTTCATTTTGTCTAAAACAGTTTTTTTTAAATTTTCATCTTTTTTAGGGGCAGATCTCGATTTTTTCTCAGTTGGAAAAAGGGGAGAGGAAAGGGAGCCGAGCAAAGGCATGCAAGTTTGATAAAAATTTTCAAAAGATTTTCTTAATTGACCTAATTGATTTTCTGAAAATTCCCATATCAACAAAAAGATTCTGTTTTTACCAAATTTTCTGCGCCACACGCAATGTTTTGGAAAAAAACAGGCCAAAAAAGCAATTTAGGTTTTGTTGGATAGTTTTGAGGAAAAAATACATATTTTTTATGGCGCGCTCCCCGTCAAAAAGTAAATATTGGCGTCGAAGTTCAGCCAGCCAAAATTCGAGGTTTTGAAATAGTGCCAAAGGGGTGAGCCTTTGGGTAGTCAGGGTATCCAATACCTAAGGAGATGGCCGTTCGCACACACCTAATTCCTCCATTTGGTTTTCTACAAATCGATGAGAAAGGAAAGTACAAAATCTAATTGATTCAATTTTGGAGAAAATGGTGGAGTATTTTTTTCTCGGGTTGGTTTTTTTTCCAGACCATTTTCGTTTTTTCAACTAGCCATTATGATCAAATGTTTATACCATCTTAAGGCCAGTAAGGTCTTCAACTCAGTTGCGGGCTTTTTCCTCCCACCTCAATTTTGCGGTGTAACGACTAAGTTTACAAGTTAATTTAGAAGACCAGAAATGTTTGTTATGGTA